CTGGTGTAGAACGTAGATTCCCACTTTTTTATTTATTTAGTTCATTTTTCTATACAGTGAGTTCATCCTTTTGGTGGGTTTTGCTGTAAATTGGATTTTTTGTTGGGATTTTTTTGTGCTTGTTGAATTTCTTGAATACTTCAAGTTTGAACATTGTTCTGAGTAATTTACTAGCTCTCAACTGTTTTTTATTACTTTTTAGTGAAGTTTTCAGCAAATGAGTGGTAATTCTGGTTTCATGAACATTTTTGTAGACGGTTATTGCCTCCTACTGTGGAAAATTGAGCAAACTACTTGGTAAATCAAAAGTTTCCTCAAGAAATCTTAAAGTGGTATTCCATGATTTTCCCGGAGGAGCAGAGAGTTTCGAGCTGATTGCGAGGTTCTGCTACAACAATGGCAGCATTTACATAACTCCTTCCAACATTTCCCTCCTTTACTGTGCCGCGCAGTTTATGGAAATGAACAATTCTGTCGCCGGCAGACATAATTTGTTACAAAAAGCGGAGAATTCATTTGAAGAGATCAGGTATTGGTCATGGTCTGAGCTTTTGACGGCTTTGAAGCAGTGCCAGGATTTGCTATCGGTTGCAAATTCTTTGAGTCTAGTTGAGAAATGCTTGGATACCCTTGTTGCAAGATTGCCTTGGACAAGCGAAGCGAGTCCCTGTCCTTCGACTTCATCTCCTGACAGCTCTGGAATTCGGTTTTCATGCGACACTAGAAGCACCGAGAGTTTGAAAACCACCTTGTCTCGAGCAACCTGGTGGTTCGAGGATCTTCTAGTTTTAGGTCCAAATTTGGTTGAAATGCTGGTCAAGGCCATGGTTTCGCGAAAACTCGATCATGTTATCATTAGTAGGTTCCTCTTTTACTACCAGAAATCGAAGTTTTACACTGTCAAATCTGATACCAAGCGCACCATTGCTGAAATGGTCATTGAGATGCTGTATATGCTTGATCAGAGCTGTGTTTCTTACAAAAGCTTGTTCGGGATTCTTCGAGTTACGCTGAATTTGAACTTAAACAAGAGTATTAGGAATAAGTTGGAGAATATGATCGGTTCACAGCTAGATCAAGCAACATTGGACAATTTGCTTGTTCCATCCCCACAAGGAATGAATTATTTGTATGATGTCAATCTTGTGCTACGGTTCCTGAAATCATTTCTGCATGACAGAGGAACCCGTCAAGCTGACAGGCCCCCAATGCTATTAAGGAAAGTTGCTGCTTTGGTTGATTTGTATATAGCAGAAGTAGCCCCAGATCCTTGTTTGAAGCCTTCAAAGTTTCTGGCTTTAGCCATCGCGCTGCCGGATTCTGCGAGAGACTCTTATGATGAGCTTTACCATGCCATAGACATGTATCTACAGGTATTAGATTTATCTCAAAATAATTTATGCTCTTGTAAATTTGGTTTATTAACTTATGATCCAAGAATCAAATAGCACATTTCGAAAATTTAGTTACACCGAACATATTTTGAAGATTATTCATTTGAAGTTGGTTTTGATCTGCTTTGACATAGGTACACCCAGGACTGTCCGAAGACGAAAAGATGAAGATATGTTGTGTGTTGAACTATGAGAAGCTCTCAGCAGAGACTTGCGTACACCTTTCACAGAACACAGAGTTTTCATCAAAATCTGCAGTCCAAGCTCTTGTCTATCAGCAATCCAAGCTCAAAAGCTTACTCCACGCTACCAACAATCTCAAGTCCTACACTGACTCCCCTTATAGCGCCATTTCTGAGGCCGAAAGTAGGGATTAAGGAAAGATGATGCCAATGTACAACTTGTGCTTTATGCCGGGAAAATTGATCTCTCAGATGACAATGAGAAGCTCAGAACACATCTGCAAGGCATGCAGTGTAGGGTCATGGAATTGGAAAAACTTTGCAAGAAAATGCAATCTCAAATGGCGAAGTTTACGAAATCAAAAGCACCAAGCCACTACCATACAAGATCTTTGCCCAAACTTTGTTCATGATACAAGTTTTGCATTTCATTCCTTTAGTTTTAATCATTATCTCATTCGTGTATAGCTCAAGGAAATTGTTTTTCTTTTATTTATTTTTATGCGTTTTTAGCAGATTCTTCTTTCTTTGCTGCATAACTAAAGTTGTTTCACTTAGATTGTAAAATCTTTGGTTGTACAGTTACAGAAAGAGAACCTGTTGACTCATTTTTTATTCGAATGACGCCTCTTTTTCTTAAAGATACGTAGTACTTCGAGCTAACGGAAGACTTGGCGCATAACCAAGCGCAATGACATTCAAGGATTCATACAGTTGACCCTACTTAATGGGATAAGTCTTCAGTTGTTGTTGTTTGAATGGCCCCTCTACTAATTTTTTGTAGTGCTCTGGGTAGATAAGGATAAATGCAAGGTTAAGTCATTTTCTTCCAGTCACTCTCACTTGTGGAATGCAAGCTGGAAAGCATATATTCTGCATGAACATATGAGGGTGGAGCGAATGAAAGCCGAACGTATTTCATGACATACGTACTTTTCTGTTTTGAGCCACCGTATTTTGCACATGAACTAGGGTAGTTTGTTCATACCACCAAGGAGAGGGGAGAGATAATGGCACATAACCAGTTACTTCAGTCTTTTTACTGAAAAGTACATGTAATCAAGATGTAGACAATATGAACATCTCGATAGTTGATAATGTGTCGATATGTTTGTTAGTGTTGAGTGGTCGGACATGTCACGTGATCAGATAGGTTGACCTAAAATTTTTTCCACCTGATACATCATACCATCACATGACCAATGAGTTCCATCAGGACATGACTCGTAGAGATGACAACACTTGAAAGTTTTTGTCGATGAAATAGCCCTCTTTTGCCTAATCAACGTGTATCTACCACCATCACTATTATCACCATCGCCGTCATCATCGTCATCGTTAATCTCTGCTAAAGATTATAAAAAGTAGTTTTCTTTGTCATATGGTTTCAATTATATGTCAACCAATAAAACAAAGAACAAAAGTAACCTAATAGTAAGATATATAAAAAGTCAAGTGTAGTTGTTATTGACTTGCCCTAAAATCAATTGAAGAATGAGTATACAAATTGTCACATGGTCCACTTATGTACTGCAAGTCATTTATATGCCAAGAAAGACAACTGTTGGCTATTCACATGAACAATTCTTTTCTCCTGAGATTCCGCAACATTCTTCACCCAATTAACCAATGGCCAAACTCTTAATTTCATGAGATTTTAATTAAGACATTCAGATTACTATGTAGGTCAATATTTTACCAAATACAAGACTATTAATGTGAGTGAGGACATTGATGCCTTGGTAACAACTTGACCATGTGTGCTTACTTCTACATTCTGAAGTTCTGATGTTGTACAGTTTTTTCTATACAATTGTATTGGGAGGAGGGTTAAATTTGAGATTTAGAGTGTACGAGTGAATGCTCTTAATCAATTGAGTTAGGCTTTTTAGCCAAAATAGTCCCTGATATTTGCATAATACATTACTCTGGTCCTAGAGATTTGAAATCAATAGAAGTGGTCCCTGAGATTGTATGGACGTATAAGGAGTTAGGCTAGTAGAGCAAACTAGCCTATGTATGAAGCTCAATGGGCACATGTACGATTGATAAGTATTGTCTGCTTGTTTGACTTGAGGGTCGCCAAACATAAAGCGTAAAACGTTATCAGAAAGTTAAACAATTTTGCACACAAATGTATAATGAAATTGATTTTTAAATGAAACTTTAACTTGTTTAAGAGTACGTAACATTCTTTTCCCGTAAAAGTCTACGAGCGGAAAAATACTACTAAACAAAAAACCTAGTAGCTTATGATCAGACGTAACGTAACATGCAGGATTACTATTCACGTGGACATGAATTGTACGGTCAATGGTGTTGTAGGGAAGTTATCCGGGTCAGCCTCAAATTTTGATGAAACCAAGATGATCTCATATGAACGAAGAGACAAAATCCCACAAAAGCCTTTTACTTAGACGCCACTTTTCCTCTCCTGCTAATTCCTACGATACCTTTTATGGAAGCAATATATTTAATAAACTCTAACATTGTGTTTGGATGGTAAAATTTAAGATTACTAAGAAATTTTAAAATGACGGAAATTGAAACGACGAGATTTTATTTTCTACAATTTGCGAATTTTCTTATTTGGTAAACCTAAAAGAACAATGGAATTGAATATGAAATTTGTTATTTTTAAACTCTCATTCATAGAAATTGGGAAATGACACATATTTACATGAAATTTAAACTTAGGAATTAGAGGTCCCAAATTCCAAATTTAAACTTAGGAAATGACACATATTTATATTGGTGCATGTCAATTTATAAATTCTGATTTTTACCCAAATTCCAAGTTTATTTCTCTCGTCCAAACATAGTGTAACATTGATTCTACAACAAAATTCTGGTAAGATTTTGTTTGATACAAGCAATAGTGAAAAGATATTAATTCAACACGAAACGTTAGGTATGGACGGAGCCACAAACAATTTTGTGGGGGCAATTTTCAGTGATGAAATTGCCTTAAAATTTTGATACAATGCTATATTAGGTTATGTCGAACAACATGATTCTGGCTAATTGATGTTTAGAATGCAAATTGTAAATCCTTAGCTAAGCAAAAAATTACATAGCTTAGAAGGGTGAAAGGATAAGTTATTCAATTGAATGATCGAAAAAACAAAAGTGCATGACGATAAAATAGAGGTATAAAATGTTTTATTTATTTAACACATTCTAAAGAAATTGATTTGAGCTAAGTCATACACTAGGCTAACCATAACTAGATGTTGAACTAGCCACAATAGATACTCATTGACAAATAATAGGAGACAAATAAAAATTGTAGGAGATTCATGAAAAGAAAATAAAAATAAATGATTAATGGACAAGAAGTCCAGGCCCAAAACAAAAATAGAGAAAATAACAGCCCATAACCCCACTCAGTAAAAAGCCCAACCCGTTTCTTACATCACGCAAGAATTACCGGGAAATAACGCCTGCCGGTTTTCTGGTTCGTCCTCAGTCCTCACTATTCCTCCGCTCAATCTGCAACTGCGCCTCCTCCGCGCCGTCCGCACTACCGCCGCCTCCTCGCCGTCCGCGATAACGCCGCCCATCCGTCTGCGACAACGCCTCATCATCCTCTATTCTGTTGCGTCTTCTGGTTTCTCAGGGTAAGCAAATAAAACGAAAAGGTATTTGCTTAAATAGTGTGATTTTGCTTGCAAGGGTTTCTAGTTAGGGCTAATGGAAATTTACGATTTGGGTTAGTGATTAAGTAGTGTAAGTTTAATTGGGTTGATGGGTTTTCTGTATTTCATTTGTGATCTGAGAAGTGGTCCTGCTGGTGTCTAAAGTAACGGTATTGATTTGTTGGGTTTTACAGGTTAGGTCCATTTCTACTGATTTAGAACTGCCAGAGGGTTTCTGGGGTTTGATTATCCAAACCAATTTTCAAATCTGTTTATTTTGATTCTTCTTCCAGCCCAGAATTAGTGACCGGCAATCCATATTTCGATTGGAATTAATTTTTTCCTACTTATTAGAATTAGCTCTTGATGATTTAATATGTATGCCTTCGTCTATTCCATCGAATTGAAACCTTGCATATCATGTTGTTGTTTGGTTGGCTTTGTATTGTCATACGCTGTTCAGCTATTGGGCTTTGGTATTAGTAGGATGAAACTGATTTTGGCTTGTAAAGTTAAAAGAAATATTGCTGGTCAGTAAGTCGTCTTTCTTTTCCCTCTAGTTTTTATTTTTATTTTTTTCGCTTTCTTATAAGGACTATTATTTATTTTTCATAGTTTAATGTTGCTCTATGTTCACAATTGGGTTGTGGCCGATAACGGATTGTATGAATTTCACTTGTGTTAACTGAACTATTTTGTATCAAGCTGTGAACTTGTGATTAACTGTAAGAGCATGTCTTAATACATAGTTCAAGATTATTGCTTTCATTTGATATGCTTGTGTGATTGGTTTAGAGTTTAGTGCATCTATGTTTGAGACAATTTGAGCTTCGGAAGTGATTTTCGCACTCCCCTTTTCGTGCCATGCACTCCTCTCTCATTTTCTAGCGTAGGATTGAATGAATTAAAGGGAATTGAGGGACAAATCCGAGGGGAGGGGTGTTGGAAGGAGAAAATGGGAGTGTGAAAATCACCACTCTTTGGTTTTTATACTTGGAATTTGTCTCTGGGGAAATGTGTAGAGTTTGTGAGTTACTATTTCATGTTACATCACCGTTGGCCATCACATTTACCAGTTTCTGTTTGCACACATTGTTAACACAGCTTTGCCCTGTTTTGAAGTCTAAACTGATGGGGGAGCTTGCAACTCAGAAACATGTTGAATTCATTGTATCAGTTGAAAAGGTCTGATTTTTGTGTTGGAGTAAAATTTTCATTGCTTTTGGTTTGTACATTGAAGCTAAGAGTAATATTATGGTGATGCTGTACTCAGAGAAAGGACTCTTTTGAGGCGGTCGCGATGGAGCATATAAGAATAAGTGGAGCATACTGGGGTTTGACTACTCTTGATCTTTTGGGAAAGCTCCACGTTGTGGATGTTGAAGAGGTTGTTTCCTGGGTCATCCAGTGCCAACATGATTCAGGTTTTTACTTTGTTTATATCACTATTCCGACGACACTGAACTATTATTTTGATGGGGTTGTAGAGATAATGATGATATAGTTGTGCTTGAGCAGGTGGGTTTGGAGGTAGCATTGGGCACGACCCACACATACTGTATACATTAAGTGCTGTGCAGGTTTTGGCCTTGTTTGACAAGCTTGGTGTTCTGGATGTTGAGAAGGTTGCAAGTTGTATCCTTTATCACATCTATTTGCAAAGTGAAAAAAGCTCTTGCTACCTTTATATGCATTTTCTGTTGATGAAAATGGATTCAAATTAATTGCAACACCTTCTGTTGGGAGGCTTCTTATTCAAAATTAGAATACTAACTGTATAAAGGATAGTGAGCATAGCAAGTTTTGTGCAACTTAATGTGTAATTCAGATGTGGCTGGGTTGCAAAATGATGATGGATCATTTTCAGGAGACATGTGGGGTGAAATTGATACACGGTACTCTTTTATGATTTCCTTTGAGTCTGGAGACTCATGATTTTGGAAGTCATCTCTTTATGTAGAACATGATTTAGTTACAATTCTTCGCTGTTTCTCATAGAAGGAATTAACAAAGCACTAACACACATTTTTCTTTTAGGTTTTCTTATATTGCTATCTCTTGTCTCTCATTACTACATCGTTTGGATAAAATCAATGTCGAGAAGGCAGTCAGCTACATTTTAAGTTGTAAAAATCATGATGGAGGGTTTGGATCTACGCCCGGTGCGGAGTCTCATGCAGGTCAAGGTAAGTTATTTACTCACATAATGTCTCTACAAAGTTTTACTTTCTGACTAGTGCTTAATAAATCAGTTGTGTTTTATAGCCATTTCATATTTTCTGTATTTTGCTTGTTAAATGAAATTTATGTGGGTTGTGCTCAGCATATTCATGCTTAGTTCAGATTCAGTCATTATCCATCAAATGTATTACTTGAACATGTTAACTTAATAGATAATCGGAGCTGTTTCCCTTTTGTCAATTCAATGGAAGTTAGCAGTTATTTTTGCATTGCACATAACCTAGTTAGTTTTAAGCTAAGGTTGTTAATACTATTTTCCTTATCACATCATTTAAACTCCCAAGTCTATTGATGTATCCTTAATCTTGCTTTTCCACATGTCGGGTCCAGCGATGACATAATTATTTTGTATTGTCTGTGATTCTGTGTGTCCAAATTACACACTCAAATACATCTTCGATCTGCCCATTGTGACTGCAGTTTTCTGTTGCGTGGGTGCCCTTGCCATTACGGGGTCACTACATCATATTGACAAGGACCTCCTCGGTTGGTGGTTATGCGAGCGGCAAGATAATAAAACTGGAGGTCTTAATGGTCGGCCAGAGAAACTTCCCGATGTGGGTTTTATTTTTGTTTGAAATTGAAGATTGAAACTGAATTTGCTTCTACTGACATTCTTGGAATCTCCCTTACGACATTTGTGCTGCACTTTAGGTCTGCTACTCATGGTGGGCTCTTTCCAGTTTGATAATGATTGACAGAGTTCATTGGATCAATAAGGACAAACTCATCAAGTTCATTTTAAACTGCCAGGTTACATTTACCTAATGAGCTATTTGTACATTTGCATTATTCTTTAGAAATGGCCATTCTCCATGTTTTCGTATTTTCAGAGTGAAAACTGTAACCATGCCTTGTTCAAAACTGCAGGACATTGAAAATGGAGGAATTTCTGACCGACCAGATGATGCCGTTGATGTCTACCATACCTACTTTGGTGTAGCTGGTATGTAATTGCTTTGGTTCCACCTTTGTTTTTTTTTCCAGTTTCTTTACATAGTAATTTGGCAACGTTAGTTAGAGCTTCTGAGCTTCCAACTAGTTTCACAAGGGTTGCTAGTAGGAAAAACTACTTATGATGGAACATAACGCCAAATGTTTTTATAAGATGATTTGTATTCCTCGCGTATTGTCTTTCGAGAAAAATATCTTGTTGCAAAATGAAATGGGGGTGTAAACGAAAGCAGATAACTTCCAACTTCAACAGTTTGCTATTTTATTCATGACATTACATCTCAGATTGATGTTTTTTGATGCAGGACTTTCCCTTCTTGAATATCCAGGGTTGAAAGCTATCGATCCGGCATACGCTTTGCCAGTTGATGTCGTAAATAGGATTATATTGGACAGGTAGAAGGCTCTTGTTGCAATGTGATACCTCATTGTTTCTCTAATATGTTACAAAGCTCACCAAAGTTTTGCATATTTGGTTAATAGGACTGGACTAGATTGAAATGAATCATTTGATTCTGAAAGATAACTATATTTCAAGACTTTCATTGTTGTCAGTGTCTTTCGGGTCCCAGGTCAAGGGTAGACCTGTAAACGGGTCGGGTTTATTGGGTTTGGGTCGTGTTCAACCCGACTCGTTAAGTTAACGGGTCATCCAAACCCAACCCGTTAAGCTAACGGGTCATCCGTTACCCGTTAACAATTATTATTATTATTTTGCGCAGAGTTTATTTTTTGTTGTTAAAGACTTGACTAAAATAACTAAAACATCATCAACTAACGGGTGCTAACGGATTGACCCAAAATGACCTGTTAGCGATCCGATCTTTTCACCCAAATACTAATATTAACGGGTCGGGTTCAAAATGCGGAGCCTAGTCATGGATTCGGGGTCACAAGGTCGGAGTAGTAGAACATACTATACTAGTGTCATATTTTATCTGCTGCGTGCCCATTTCGAGTACCGGAACTGAAACGAGGTTAAACTAATCAAATCCTACTACTTATCGTGCCCGCCCGAATCGTACGGTACACAAAACTGAAAATTTTCAGGTATCATTTGAGTCACGAAACGGCAGACAACAAGAGCCAAGTCTCTTTAATTGCATCCAGGGTGTTTTTCCACTTGCAATTTCCAAACAAACATGAGAGAAAAAAGAGAGCTGAAATGTTTGTCTTGCACGTGATCCTTCCGTGACAAGGTTCAAGATATTGGGCATCAAATATAAAAAACATCACGTGTTACTTTGTGGGATTTGGCTTATCCTTTTGACTCCTTTCGTTTTGTTTAGAGATTTCCGATGACAAAACAGCCGCCACCACCATCCAATCAAAAACCCACCTAATTGTTTCAAACGCATTTCATGTGCACACTGTGCCTCTTCCCTCGTTGTACTCGAAATTGAAACCAACTTACATTAAACGGGTTTAGGTTTAATAACGAAGAATAATGTGTTAGTGTTTTGTAAATAAAATTAGGTTTTTAGTTTCTTTACGTAGAAGTTGATTGTCACTTGGTATTTAAATCTAATGGTGCATTTTTATGTAAAAGTTTCTTTGCAAATAAAAATACATTATTGATTAATAGCGTCGCAATGATAATGAAACCCATTTCATATAAGTTATCTTGCGAAAATTAGACTAACTGAAGCAGCACATTGCCACCACTCAGGAAGAGACACATAAGGGTTCAAATTGTAAGTGGGGATTAATAATTTTAAGATGGTGTTATTCACAAACGCTTTTTTAACCCTCACATACTTTTATTAATTTTTAATAGTCAAATCCAGTAAATCGAAAAAAATTGAATACAAAATATATATATATATATATATATATGTACAGCCCCTCTTAATTTACTGGAATTTAAAAATTAATAGGGATTTGAAAAAAGGCGTGATCGAAAAGACATGTTCACGTCAACATGCGTGCACTCTTCACCTTATTGCCTCTGCCTCCCCATAATTCATTTCTATTTTTAATCTGACACGTGATTTTTATATTTCCTATTCTCTTTCTTAAATTATTTTAATTCAAGCATAGCTGATTCGAACGGAGTAGGATTCTCTCTTTTTTATTCTCATTCATTTCTCATTCTTCTTCTCACATTTTGATTTGTGTCTTATTGTCTTTATAAAAAATTAAAATAAAATATTAATATTATTTAACCGTAACCATTCAAGTATGAGAAAAGTGAAGGAAAGATAAATTAGGAGGGAAAAGAATCTTCTTCTGATTCGAACTCGAGTGCCCGAAGGCCAAGGCACTACTTTATTCAAAGAGTTGAGTAGAATAATAAAAATTCAGTCGATTACTAATTTAATATTTAATTTAACAAAATCTTTCGATTAACAAAAAAAATAGAAAATCGCACTATGATATTTCCACGCCACACTTACCATAATGGGAGAATAAAGATTTATTGTCAAGCTGTTTTACTTTACCTGTTTGGTCAGCAAAGGCTCCTCCTCCACTCGCCTTCAATCCATGGCAGCACATTTCCCAAGCTTGGTCACCGTTTATCCCACCGCCACAGACACTGGGGTCCGGTTTCACCGACCTCGTCGTTTGTTGGGAATCCGGATCCTCCATTGCTGATTGGCTGGTCGTGTGCGAGAGACTAAATTTAGATTTTAGAAAAAGAAAAATATCTATCTATATATCTATACAACGTGTAAGAGTACATGAAAAAAATTAGTTAAAATTAAAGTTAAACGGAAAAATTCAAGATGAAAAAAATCGGCAAATACCTTAAAATTCTAAGTGCCTTCATATAAAGAATGTAACAAGTGTTTTAACCTTATTTTTCCTAACAATCATAAACATTTTAGTAATTCCATAAGAAATCTTGTACCCTTAAGTACAATTAAAGATCGAATATTGTTAAACCAACTGATTCCTCAAAATTGCTTTGGATTCCCCTCGTGACAAATTTCAAATGGGTTCCAGCAAGAGTTTGCCTGGAAAGCTACACCATAATCCATACATGGATAGAATCTTGAATCAGCATTTCAATCTGAAGAAACTCTAATGCGATTCAATGGGGGCATAAATGCTGAAGTGTACTAAAATTGGTAAGTTTTTCAAGTTGCAAGTGAAATTGTACGTAGAACTGTTTTGCCAATAATCAGGGAAACAACTTCGCTGCTGATGGTCTACCACACGCAGACACAAGTTTTGATTAAAAAAATTAAAATTTGAACACGTGTTCGTGCGTGATTTGCTACTAGCAACAGCTGCTAATCTTTTAGCGGTAAAGTCTTGTTCAATAGCAGCCGTTGATCTTTCAGCATTGAAGTCTTGTTAAATAATAAGTCCTATTACCTCACCAGCCTATAACCCTACAGATATGATGTGTTATAGGCCTCATCAGCCTGGAAGGGATGCCCCTTCTATGCAAGAAACCATCAATGCCATTTCACTTACTCACACAAGATATTTTTGTATAATTTAATACTCAGACTCACGTGTATACTTATTGCTACTTGTCTTCGTCCTTTTTTTACAACTATTTAGGATGATGCAATCTGCGTATTCATTTTTATTTTTCATAGATAATTTTTAATTTTTAACAATCCAATCAGATAAATTGAGAAAAAATTATAGAGCATAAATCACTCCACATCAATAATAAATGCATTTTTTAGCATTATAAACACTCATGTTTAATCCAATCTCTTGATTTCGATTGATTTATTCAATTCGATTAAAAGAATAAAGAGTAGTGTGCAAATCACCTCTCTATATGCGTAAGTGGTGGACAACTTCTTCCCTCGACTAAGGAGAAGTTTATCGTTGCAATTGTTAAATGTTTATGTAGTATTACTAATATGAATGAACGATACAAATACTTTTATCCACTGTTCTAAAAATTCCCGTCTAGCACCACTTAGCCCTCGCCTAGACGCTAGGTGATTGGTCACCGTCCCGATTAATGCCTAGGTGTTTGAAACTTAAGAAAGAGAGTCTAGACCTGCTGAGTCGTCCACCTAGACCTCCTCAGAACTTACCTAGCCCACCCAAACTCGTCTAGGCACCTGCTTAGGTCGCGACTCATTTATACAAAAAATAGATAACTTTCATTTTGCATTTGATTTTTTTCCATAAATTGTAAAACAATTGTTGCATACTTAAATGAACACACATTATATCCTTATTTCCCGTGTTTTCATTATTTTCCAATAATTCATAATATATATGTCATTCTATTTTTTAGCTTGTGATAAAATTATATATATTCACTTAAATATAATAAATTTACTTAAATCCACCTAGTCTGCTTAGCCACTTAAGCACTAGGTCCCACCTCTCCGCCCGACTAGCGTCTAGCGTATTTTAAAACTTTGCTTTTACCTTTGCAAAATTTGTACAGCAACGTTTTTGAATGTGTCAACTACTACCAATATTATGAAATGGGACATTGCTCTTTCATGATATGGAATTTAAATACTGATTTTATTTCCAATTTTTCATTGCTTGCACATGTTTTCTTTTGTTTTTGTTTTAAAATAAAGCAGTTTAGACTGGAGTCTCAGCTCCCCCAAATCATATTGTTCTCTTTGTAGAATAAAACAACGAGGGATGGCAAAGCTTTATAAAAATATCAAAGGCTATCATTGTCACAATCCTTCTTGCAGCATTTCTTTATGGATTCCCAAATCTTCCAAAGCCAAACTTTCGTCAAAACGTGTCTTAAAAAAATTGATCCACAATATAATTTTCAGGTAGCAATCAATTTCAACTCATTACTTACGTATCTAACTTGAGTAATTTATGTATAAATTTGTACAAGACTGAATCGTTGATGTACATAAATTTGAAAGAACTCGTATTACATTTATATTTGAGTCAAATATTTATCAATCTAAGCTCGTTCAATCTAAACGAACTCGGTCCATACCAAATTCGATCCATGTGATCGTGCTACGTATAAAATTATCGCCCCGTAGCATTCTTAAAAAGTTCTGTACACACTAATTCCCTACTAAATTTATAAAAAAAAAATGCAAGAAAAATTCTTAAACAAAGGGGACGCATCTCAATAACTCAAGAAACAAAGGTTTTATTGCCATTATGGCAAAATATAGTGCGATTGTACTGAGCTGGCAGTTGGCAGCTGGCACTGTCATTGCACAAAGCATAAACAAAAATTAAAGATACAAAGTAATGATAGAAATATCATATTTTTTAAGCAAAACTTCCAAATCAAACTATGTGATTGTAAATAATTATATTATTATTTAAATATAATTAACGTGTTTATTTTTTATTGATGATATATCATTTAGTCTAAAATTTGATCTTTCTAGTATTATTCAAGGTAAAAGTGAAGGAAAAGCCAATTCCAAACCACGGCAAGTGGCCTAGTAAAAAAACTACTGACTGCAGCTCGCTAAAGAAAATAGCGGAAGGTTTTGAATTCGATATTTTATAAATAGTGAATTTACTTAATATGACTACTTAGAGGATGTAATTTCTAACTAATCTTCTCTAAATCTGAAAGGAATAGGTAATCCAGTTCGACATCGATCATTCCTTTTAAAA